AATATTTTTAAAACATACCTTAAATCTAGTTATAGGCATGACAAAAAGGCATTGTTGTTTAAAAGTTGTTTCATTCTAAAATTCATAGCATCTATTATTGAACCAGAAAAGGGTGAAGTAAAAATAGAAATTTCTAATTTTGTTTTAGCCATATGCCATAAAAATCCCCTATTAGCTGCACAAGCTGTAAGTTCTATAGCTATTTTAATTGGTTTTAGGATATTTATCAACCCTATAATTGCTTGCCATTCCAAAGCTGTAAAGTTCACTGTATGATACTGATAATTCCTCACACATATCTTTTAATTTATTTTATCTCTCTAGCATTATAGGTTGATAACCATCGGTGACAATCCAATATATGTCTTTTTAATGATATCGACTTTGTCCTTAGCTCCTGTAGGCACTACTAGCTTTAATAATATGAAACTGAGCAATTTTTCAATGCATGATCTACCACAAGTTGTAAGGGATGAGAAGCACATTTTATATTTATAATATTATATTGAGAATCACTAAGATTAATTGTTAATTCATGAGGTACGGTTGTGAAACTAGTAGAAACATCATTCAAATTATCTATATTGTATTTTTTCTTCTTCATCATTTTCAGACATTTGATTGTCATCATCACTATCCTCCATAAATATTTTTACCATCTTAAATTTGCCCCCATTGTAGTTGTTATACTGTATATTTATGATATTTTGATTTCATAATCAAAGATTTTCAAAATTATTTTACAGGAAAAAATAAAGTATATCTAAACTATAAAAAATTCGTCCCTTTTATAGGGAAAATAAAAGGCACAGTTATAAATTAAAATTAAATTGGCGCAAAGTGAAAAAAAGAACGTTTTTGTGGAATCGAGTTGTGTTAGTTTTATCGTACATAATTGGGGATAAAACCTACCCCCCTAAACTTCCGAAACTCAAAATATACCTTGGGATGCAGGGTACTTTTATTAAAAGGAGTTTTAAATTTTCTGCAGTTGCGGTTCAAAAATTTCTTTCATTGCTAATGTACTCAAAACAATTTTTGCTTTTTGAATATACTGAAGATTAATCCCAATAATGGATCCGTCTAGACGAGTAACACAGTAAATTTTTAGAGATAATAACTTACCATTTATATCTTTGATTATATTTTGTCGAATACTTAAGGCTAATTCTGCAACATTAGATTGAATATTTTGAGAAATAATTTTAATATTACCCATGCCTTCTAACTTTTTTAAAATAGCTATCATCGATTAATTTGAATGGTCTGTCATTAAAAGTGGCCAACTCAGTACAAGCAACGATTATTATTTTTTTATTTAGTTTTACTGATATTGTTTATTCTTTTAATGCATCTTCTATCGTCTGTTGGCTTGATGGCATCTTAAACTTTTTTTATTATATTAGGCTTTTTTGTGGTATTTTGTTAATTTTATCGAATTCTAGAGGGTGGTTTCTTTATGTGACGCCTAAGATTTGCTCCATGATGGCCTTTCATATTTATTCGACAATCAGTAATTCATTTTGATGTGTCATTTATAATACTATATATGTAAATAATTTATATATTGGATTTAATTTTTCTCTAGGCTTTCTTTATAATTTATAAGCTTAAATTATTTTAAAAATGTTGTTAAATGGCAATATACTTAAGTTTATAAAAATTATGATGACATTTATCAATCTAATGTAATTGATAAAAATCTTTAAAACAATTCTAATATAATTAAAATTTTTGCAATATACTAATAATAACTTACAAATTATTATATAAGCATAAGATCATGAGTCTCCAACCGGTTCAGAGGCACTATAGAGGTTCGGTTCAGGTTCAGCTAAAAACATTTTTAGCGGTTTTTAGTGGTTTAATAGTTCGGTTCAGGTTTGGTTTGGATCCCCATCCAAAAATTAAGAAAATAATGTCTCAGTTAGATCAAGCATATGTAATCCATATTCTTATGTTAAATTGGATAATACTTCAATTAATAATGCTAGTGTTAATAATTATACCTGCATTTCTTGATAAAAGTTTTTATAAGGAAAGATGGGAATAGAAGGAAGGGATGGAAAAAAAGGGAAATGGAGAAGAAAGGAGACCCAAAGAATATATCGATCAAAAAACTATATAAAGCTAGATTTTAAAATAATTTTTGAAATATAAATACGACAGTTAACAATATTATAATATGTTTTTAGTTTTAAAAAAGTAATTAGATTTTAATAGTATTCTAGTCACATAGTTTGCACAGATTTCGGACGAAAATAAATGTTATTAACCATGTAGTTTAAAAAATATCTGATATAGATGTTATCTTAGTGACAAAAGCAAAATTTAATTACGATTTCTTTATCCATTTATGTTTATGATATTATATGGGAAAATTAATGTTAAAAAATATTGAATTAAAAAACTTTATTTATTTCTTATAAATTTTTTATTCCTTCTATCTAAATAACTAGTCAAACAATTTAATCAAAGTTACAGTGCTACAAATTTATGCAAAACTTACCCGAACTTTATGTTCAATTTTCCAACCTGACTCGACCTCAGTTTTGTTAGAAATAATTTTGGGCTACATTTTGTAAATGGTTTCAAGGGTGAATTATTAAAATACGAGAGGAGAATGACAGTTTAATGATCCCTTCGTGTGATTTTTCAGTTAGTTAATTTATATAAACTATAAATCTCAGCCCTTCTATTCCCAGTTTGAATTTTTTTCATAACCGGCCCAGCATGCCTAGATTTTTTAAAATAATACTAATTTATTCATGTTCTAAACTGGGCCTGTAGGTCTCTTATATGTATAGTGTTAAATTAGTTTAGACGGCAAAAATTTCAAGTTACCCTTCCACATTTCAATTTCAGCATCTGGAAAGAATTATAAAAATATTTAATATTTCAACAATGAACAAACATAGGCGAAGCGATTTTTCTAATAGACCAAAAATTTTGGCTGAATTTCTTCCAAAAATTTTGTTAAAAAGCTCTAAGGCCACTTTTTAAAAAAAAATTATTTATTTTTACACCGCTTTTTTATAGTTAATTTGTAATTATTTAAAAAATTATTACCTTAACCTTATTCTTATCCAAAATTATAATTGATAATGATCAGGCCTGTGCTAACGGAGGAGTCTAGCCTGCTAATTAGACATTTTTAGGGGCCGCCAAATGCTGTTTTTTCTCGCATTTAAAAGTAATTAAAATTTAAAAATGGATAAATATATAAATATTACATATTTATGCTAGTACCATATACCATCATAACAACAAAAATTTTTATATAAGATATGAATTGAATTCAAAAAAATCTAATTTATGACAATATATTTGTGACGTGTTTGATTTTAAAACTACGCCCAAACTTCATTCCTTATAAAAAAAAATGCTAATAAATTATGCAAAATATCAATCGAATAGAATGAGGATAGGATATTTGTAATAATAAAGTAATGTAACTTTCTATAGCTCTTTTATTTTTATCTTAAAAAATTTGAAAAATCTCAGTTAGTTGCTTTATTATATTGTTAGTAAAAAGAAAAAAATTAAGTATGGACGAAACCTTTACTTAAAATTCAAGACAATTCCTTACAAATCTTTTGCGAAAAATTGATTGATAAAACTATTCTTAAAGTTTATAATGCATTGAATGCATTGAATGCATTGTCACTAATAATTAATAAGTGTTCTGGATAAAGGCAACATCTTGAGAAAGCGATATTTTTTTAATAAAAAGAAAGAAAAAGTAATTTAATATATAAATAATTTTTAAATAATCTTCTGAAGCTGTTTATAGACTTTTACCAGAAGATGACGTGTTTGAATAAAATTGATCTTTTTCTTATATCGAAATTCTAGTATAATTGTTTATTCGTGACCCCTTACGCGAAATTAATTTTTTTTTAAATTGACATAACGTAGCGCCTTCCAATATTAATAAAATAGCTAGATTAAATCTAAGTAGTAACGTAACGCTTTACCAAAAAAAGTAACAAATACATAAAAATTATATTTATTAAATGTAAGTTATACCAAATAAAATTTGCTTTTTTAAAAACCTATAAAAAGACTTGGCAACACTCTAGATTTAGTAATAGTAATGGTAAAAAGAAAATGTCCATCACGTAAATTCGGTGCGAAAAATTATATGCATTCATTTCGATTCAGAAATGATCTGGCATAGGATTCAGCGCGTGTCAATTCAGCGCAGGTTAATTCGGCACTAATTCGGAGTGATTATTTGGGCGCAGATATAATTCGGCTTAGCTGCAATAATTCCGTGTGGATTCGGCGCAGCAGCAAAATGGTTGACATGCTAATAGTCAGCGTATTAAATCTGATATTCGGTGTCAAGTCAATTAAATGCGGAAAATTTGGGGTAGGTGAATTGAGCGCACAATACATAATTCAGCGCGCATATATATGGTATAAAAATAATAGGCAAATTAGTAGTTTTTAATTAAATCTTACAAAACACCTAAAAAATTTAAATGGTCACAACCTTAAAAGTAAGGAATATTGACCAAAATAATCAAAATCTTATTTTAAAAAAATTAAATATAATGAAAAATAATTAATTTAATGAATAGCACAAATTGCTTTGTTGCACTGATTTGTCATAAGTTGACATAACTGAGAAAGATATAATCTGTAAATTGCTAGATATATTCACTAAAGTTTGGTCTTACGTCTTTTATCCTTGATATCCAATTAAGAAAATTTTGGATACTTTCTTTCGCCTAATTTGCACCGAATTGATATAGGTCCAATCGTAACTGAGTTGCACCGATTAACCAAATTAAATTGTCGGTGCGCAGAATTGGCATATGTCAAAATCTATGGGCCAAATTAATATGCCGAATTGACGTGCTCCGAAATGATGTGTAACCACTAAATGTTGGTAATGAAATAAAGTAATGCATTTTTTTAAATGTCCATTTTCCCACTTTCTATCCCTTTATTTCTAAACCTCTTTCTTACTTCCTGAAATGAAATTTAATTACGCGAAGAGAAGGTCGCCGTGTGAGTCTCATCGTCCATGCTACCGACGTGTTTGTCCGTATCGGAATCACTCATAGTGTGATTTTTGGAAGATCTGTCACTCCTGTATGTTATATTTGGGTCATTAGCGGAATTCAATTCAAAATTTTTATCTTTTCCTCTTTCTTTCAGTTTTACTTTCACTTTTTTGGTAATATTATCCTCCCCATTTTCGACTTTTTCGTCACCTTTATAACTTTCCGCGTTAGTTATAACTATATCGCGGTTAGCTGGGTCATTAAAGTACAGGTCGTTCTCTATGTTCCATGAAGACAAGCGGGAGCCGATTAGATTGGTCATATTCTGATCATCTATTTGGATGCTGCTGGCGCTCACTCTCCGCCTACCTTTAAATCTTCGAAATTTCATTCTATTTTATTTTTCATACCACCAAAAAAATTGTAATCTTTCTATATTTCTTGGGATATTTTAGATAAATTGTTTAGTAAACTTCCCAACATTATAAAATGTGTTTCTCGAATGTTGAAACGGTAATGAGGCGATGGCTATAAAAAGATGATGTATTGTTTAAGTTGTCGATCAGGCGTCTGCATAATAGATATTTTTTTTAAAATTCAATATAAATATAAAACAAATCATGATAAATATTTACATTAGGAAATTTAATTTAATGATATGCTATTTTAAGATTTCCAATATGCATTTATCATTGTAAGATGTTATTTTAAATTTACTATATATATATATATATCTATCATATTATAATCAGATTATTAGGTAGAACTCTAGGAACTAGTTCAAAACTAAGAACCGATACCAAAACCTTCTCTTAGAACTAAAACTTTAAATCCAAGGAACCTGAACTTCACCTAATTGGTCAAGCTAATTTTCCTAGAAAACTGAATCTTGTAATTGTGAATTATTTCAGAAGGTTTATTTTCTAAATTATTGCTTATTAGTAGAGGTTGGGATAATCAGAAGGGGATTTATGGTTAGCCAGTCCAATATTTTGTCTATAGATAGAAATATAGTCACGAAAAGATTATAATCATTAAAAATTTATATTTAAAGTTTATGTTTCACACATCTAGAACCACGAGACACTTCAGTTATGAACAATTTGCAGCCTGATAAACATATTTTAAATAGACCATTTGTATTTTTATAGGTAACCTTCTCTAATAATTAGGAAAAGTGGAAAAATCCTTAATCAGACTTATCAGCCAGAAGGGCCTTAAAACAATAATTTCTATGGCATTTTTGATCAAAAAAATAGCTTATACACTAGGGGAGACCGGGGTACATTGAGTACAGGGGAACGTTAGGACATTCTAATTATAATTTGATCTATTATTTTATAAGACTGGAAATTTGAGCCTAACATAGATAATTTTGTCATACATGATTGGCTAAAGAAAAATATTTAGTATTTTAATTTTTACAGAAGAAAATGTGTTTTGGCATACCATGAATAATAAAAAATATTTGCAAACTTTATCGTTTATATTTATAAATAAAGCTTCAAAAATCATAATAAATAGATTTTAGGAAAGCCTAAACTATTTTCCAATCTGGCAAACTTTCAAAATCAATAAACATGAATTAATATGATTTTGGATGATATTTAAAAGTTAGTGGGCTCGGTCATAGTTGGTCATAGTATAGTTGGGACACGCCATTTTAGCTCATTTTATAAACAATTTCATAATTTTATTATTAATTTAGTATTGTGAATAATGAATAATTAAATACTTATCTTTCACTATGTTTATGATTAAAAAAAAATTTTTTTACATTTTTTTCTTTACAATTTTATTTTCCCCAAAATAAATTTCCTAAATTTTGCTAAATTATAGTTATTGATTATGAATTACAATATTATCAATAAAATCATATGTGTCATAGTCTCTAGTCTTACTGGATTACTGATTTTAAGTTTTTTAATTTATTTAGACCTCTATTTCACATGTGTCCCAACTATCACATATGTGTGTCCCAACGTACACAGAGTCTGTCATAGTTGGGACAAAAAAATTTTTTTTTTAAATTAAATTTTCTAAAAAAATATAATCTTCATAAAATAGATATTAATTATTTCAAATAGCCTATACTTCTGGGATTCAGAAGATGTTTTAATTATTCAGATTAGTCTATTAATATTAGAATTATTAATGTTTGAACGAAAAGTGTCCCAACCATCCCCGGTCTCCCCTACAATTTTAAATTATTTAAATATTCCTGGCCATCATCTGAGGAGGATGACTACTATTAATTTTGTTAAATATATATAAAATTGCCTTTTTGGCACTATTCAATTTTATTTTAATCATAAAATAGCTTATTATTTATATTTGAAGTAAATCCCCCATCAAGTTAAATGAAATTAGGTACAAACAAGTTTTCTGGCCGAATGCACATTACTAAAATTATTAACCAATTTACTTAAATAACACTAATTCACAAGTCGGCTAGAAAATTCGTAGCTAATCTCAGTGAACTAGGAAGGTGTATAATAAAAAATTATAATTAAAATAAAATAAATTAAAATGTAGAAAATTATGTTATAATTTATATTCAACCATGATTTATTGATGATATCATTGATTAAATTCAAAATTTTAACAAAATTATTTCTAAACCCGACTCAGATCGAAATAAATAATAATCATAATTTCTCAACCCGAACCACAGGTTTGGTTGGTGGGAGGGGGTGGGCTCTTAAGTTAGGCCGGGTTTTTCATATTTCTAATTGATATAGTTTTCAAGTCTCGAATCGGAACTATATGGAGAATAAAAGAGTGAGGTTACAAAAGAATACTTTTACTTTTGTAAAAAGGCTGTTTACAGATATGATATATCATGGAATCAGAATTGTTAACAGATAAGAATATCTAAGACGCCTATTTAGATAAACAGCGGCTTAATAAAATTAGAAATCACGTGAAAGTTTTAACATTTCTAATTTTAAGTTTTTTATATATGCAATAGTTAAGTGAAATGTAAAGTTTCCATTTAAAAAAAAATCCCTCTGTAATTTAAATTAAAAAAATGATGCAAATCACGAAATGAAAGGGGGTCATTTTTTTATTGGAATTGGGATCAATGTCATAGTAGAATTTATAAGAATGCTTAACTCAGGTTTACGGTAAATTTTCAAAAATTAAATCTATATTACATATTTTTTCAATTTTAAAATACTTAAAGCATAAATTTCTGACAATTTTACAATGAATTTTTATGCTTATTTTTTTTAGGTCCGACCCGAATTTTTACCTACCGCTCTTAGGAGCAACTTTAAGGCTTTAACCTGAATTGTGAATCAAGTCAATCATTACCAAATTAGATATATAAATCTTTGTTTATAAAAATGATATTAAAAAAATTATAAAAAGAAAAATATTTTACCATGAGTTCTTTTCTGCCCTGATATAAGAAATCAAAATAATTTACAAATATAATTTCGAATTCGCAATACTCTAGTTCAAAAAATAGGAAAAATTTTCTGCGCAAGCCTATATTAACATTTTTTAAAAAAATTCATGATTATTTAATTATTACTAGTGATTTAAATGTTTTCTATTCACTTATAAAAAATATTTTAAAATATTTATAAATAATACATAAATTAGGGTAGGGCGTTCGATAATTATAGTAATTAGAAAATTAGGAAAACGATTGAGATATTAAATTTTCAACCGAGCCGATACTTAATTACGGGCAAAGTTTAAAAATAGTTATTTTGATTTTAAAAATAATATATGAATTTTAAGGAGTGAAAATAAATCAATAACATTAAACCCATAATATTAAACGCTTTGGCTTGATATTTATTTATAAACATTTATATTTTATTTTTAAATGCTAGAATAAATATTAAAAAAACATATAAACTCCAATTAAAAGAAGAAATTCTATAGAATCAATATCTTACTTGCTGAGCCACATTTACAGCTCCCAACACCAAATAAATTTGTGGTCAAGGCGGTGGCACACATAATTTTTTTTCTTATGAATTAAAAAGTGATTTCAAAATTTTAAAAGTATTAATACTACCTAAATAATGCCTAGTTTTTATATTAGTCAGTATATTGCGTAAATATTGAATCATTTTTCTAAGCTACTTATTCATGCACAGGGTTGCTAGGTCTGTCCCCATCAGAGGGAGACTCTTTAATTTTTTAGTTTACACGCAAACATCAATTTCCCGCACAATTTTTTTTAAGCATATTAACGTCTTTAATATTTAAATAATATTTTTGATATTATGTTGAAAAATATTACCTATTTTGAAATTATAAAACGTTACCGACTTTGTTAATATACATATAAACTAATTATGGGGATAACTAAATTACACATTCCCGACCGAAGGCCAGCAATTTTTGTATTTCTACCGCAATTTTCATATTTCACCCGCAAAATACCAAATTTCTCCCGCAATTTAAAAATTTTGACCTGGCAACCCTGTTCATGAATCTCATTTTGAAAATGACAAACCTAGTTCATTATTTAAATATTATAGAAAAATTGTGGTTTTTTGGTCTATCGACAAATTCACCGGATCTCAAATTAACTGTGATTAAATTTAAATTTGTTTTATGGAATTGATTTTCGGGTGGATCGGACAAACAATCCTAAAAATATTTTATAAAGCCGTTATTTCGGACACTTTTTAGAACTCATTAGTTTTTTAAAATTTTTATACTTAATATAAATAAATAAATTCATCTATGATTAGAGTTGTATAGCTTGTTTTTTAGATTAAACAAACATATACCAGAAGAAAAGAAAAAATGTATAAAACATTTCTTTCTTACTTTCTTTCTTTTCATTAAAACAGCCTGTTCAGGGCTTGTAGGTTTCCGATATCTCAGTATATATTTTCAAAAATCTCAACATACCCCCTCCTAGGTTAAATTTAATATCCCATAATGATAATAAATTGAGCCTATTTAGAATCCTAATTAATGAATTTTTTTTATTCAATTTTAGAAAATTTTTTTTAAATCTTACTAATTTTGTTCTTTCCTTTCACCTAAAATCTCAAATCTTCAAACTTCTATAAATGCCGAGGAAGGGTAGTATAAAAGATTTTTTAGCCAGCTTCAAAAAAAATCCCTATTTCTGGAAAAATTTTCAGACAATTTTTTTATATGCTTTCTAAAAGCTCACAAAATGTGGTTATGACCCAATTTTAAACACAGCTAGATCAAAATTTTAGCCCAAAAATATTACCAAGTCTTAAAATTCCGTCAAAAGATGAGCTCTCTTTTGGTGATCTTGAGGCTAAGATAATATTTTTTGGAATATAGACCTTTTTTTTTAAATCGGCTAAATCGAGGTTAAGAATGTGAGTTGGGATAAAAAAAAAAATTTGTGCAAATCGAAAATTTTGACTTTTGTTATCAATTAATCATAAAAAACCAAATTTATAAGTAATATCAACTTTTATATATTTATAATACTTGATTAAAAATAATCTATTTAGCGCTTGATGATTGATGAATGAGAATTTATGGAAACATTTTGAAAATTTACATAGAACTAATAGAACTATGTATTTATTAATTAAAATTATTCTTTTGAG